GAAGTCATTACTAAAGTTAAGGATCGAATTAAGGAAGCCCTAGTGCGTAGTGAATCCCCTCGCTCCCTATATTATTGGATATTGCAGCATCTGCCTACCGATGACCAACAAAACACTCATGCTTTTATCGACCATGCAGAAATTAATAAGGACAATACAGAAATTTTATGGGGATGCACACATCTCATTGTTTGTGAATAATGTATATTAATCGTGTTAACTTTATAAACAGCATCGTTTAGTTTCTTAATATTCGATCGGTTGAAGGTCATCTCTATAAAAAATCATTCGAATCGGAAATCGTTTATGCATCTAACTACATAAAACAAGTCGGCATTAAGAACAAAATATTGTTATGGAACGATATTTACACAATGTCCTCACCTACATTAGCAACAAAATGATTCAAAATTGAAATACAATTAAAGAAAGATCCACCCACCATCTATCCCATTATTGGTGATCACATATAAGGGCCCCTTATTTTGATAGGGATTTGCATGCAAATCGGATTATGCGGTCAGAAGGTTACATACAATTGCCATATATGCAATGGTATATGTACATAGTTGTTATTTGGTAGCCAACTTGTATTAGTATAATATATTTAGCCACAAATCCCGATTTTAATTGATTAACAAATAAAGAATCAAAGATATTTTTAAGAAGACATTTTCTTTGCTTAGTGGGTGTAGGGGAGTGTTTCATATATTCACGTCATGTACCAATCAAACATAAAGCCTTTCTTGTTTCGTCCTTTTTACATTTCTCACCAGGCAATCCAATCCCAAGCCCCCCACTTGATCAGCAGACGTTAAAAATGTAAAGGAGTGCACCCAAATTTAGCAAAGTTTTCTGCATGGCCAACCTAATATAGAAAAAGGGCCGGCCTCAATATCATGACGTTTTTATTGAGTAATGTTAGGAATATTAAGTTTTTAGATCAAATTTGTAAATCTTGTGATGCATCACCAATATAAAATAAGTACGTTAATCAATATTTACATAATAGTCCAATCATCAACAACCATGTGATTGGCTTACAAAATTTGATCTAAATGGATGGTCTTTCTAGCATTACCCGTTTGTTTTTTGCTTTTTGAATTTTATTTTAGGATAGTGCGATTCACACTCATTTTTACCTCCCGAAAACCCTTATTAATTTTTGGTCAATTCGTTCGATCCAATGACCAGAAATTAAGAAGGGTATGAAAGAAAAAAATGAGTGTATGGATAGCACTATCCTTATTTTATTGGATGATGTGTCACCAATAAAAAAACAAGCACGTTAATCGACATTCAATTAATAATCCAATTATCTACAACCACATCATTTGGTTTAAAAAATTGAACTCTTTAAAATTACCCTATTTTATTAAGAGTAATGCTAGGGAGATTAAATTTTGGAAACTAAAGGACATAGAAATTTATGATTGGTTTATTACATAAGCGTTGATAAACATGCTCATTCTTATTGGTGACACATCATTTAGTTTGCAAATTTAGTCTTCCTAGTATTTCTTATTTCATTAATTAATTAAGAGCATAAACGTGTTGATGACTAGCTAATCATTAATTAATGTAAGTCTTACAATGGATTCGTCTCAAATCTGCAACTAGGAACCATTCTCGTGCACGTGAATGACTAACGTTAATAAACGTGATTTTAACATTGTAATTAAAAAAATTTAAATATCTACGTCAACATATGTTTGTAAACAATAACTAAGTCGTCAAGCTTTAAACTTTGAAGATAGTTTCTTCACACAATAGTTTTCCCTTATGGGTAGGCAATGCACCTGAAAGTGATCTTTAATTTTATTAAAATCTAAATTCTCTAATCCCTTTGGTTTATTATTTGACGGAGAATCGACTGTAATACACACAATTGACAGATAAAGTTCTCTTAGTAAATTTAGATTCAGGAAATAATCAATATAATTACTGATTTACAATCTGCAATATAAGGATATTATGTTTGTAGACAATCTAACAATAAAACATTTCTTCACATTTAGATTAAAAAAACAAGGAATTGATCTTCTATTATCCGTCAATCATATGTTTGGTAACTAGGATTGAATACCATATTCAAGATATGTTGACGTAAAAAATGAAGGTCAACTTTCAAATTTTGTTCAGATTAAAAGAATTAGATAATTAGTCAGAAGGTGTTGATATTCTATTATTATGGTTTATGAATTGGATACAGCGAAGGCACTAAACATGATAATATTTCTCGAAGAATCACATTTCTCCCGCGAAACCACCAAGAAGTATATGATAACTTTTTTCAAAATGAACTAGTGCAAACTAGCCAAAAATGATCAGTCAGACATTGCAGCCAATCCGGTGATTGAACAAAAGATGATCTTCTCTTGATGGAAACCTAAAACCCCAAATAGAGGTATACCTAAAACCACCTTTTTTTCAAGCAAAGAAGAGAGCTTTCTTTTGGAAGGGGTGCAAATACACCTTGTACGAAATTTAAAAACTAATCTCCATTTCTTCGTTCAACATGGTGAGTTATTCATTCAATCAATTACATTAATTTTAAAAATAGAAACTATTACCTTAATTTTTATCTTATTTTTGTTAGAGAATGAAACAATTAAGGGTAGGGTCAAAGATGATATGCAAGTTGGATAAGCTTTTGTGGTTGTAACTTGTACGCAAACGCAAAAATGATATATTTTGTAATTAGATTCCCATCATAAACATCCATGTCAAAGATTCATTGGTCTTGAATATACCTACCATTAATATTTTCTAGGCATCCAATCAAGTTACTAAATATATGTCGTGAGAAAAGCTCTAAGTTAGAATATCTAGCACTCAATCCAATTCAAGACGGACCCTCTTACATAGCTGGTCAACAAGGGACTGCTTAGATTATAAAACAAGTCCAATTCTCTTTTGAGTAAAATTTTGATCTAGAAGAAATTGACGCTGGACTCTGAACAAAACCCTAAACGGTCCTTTTCAATTTATTTTACTCATGAGCCTAGTGGTCAAATTTATTGGAGATATTTGGTTGACGACCCTAATTTAATTATTTGATACGTTACGGTATTGAAAGAAAAAAGAATTAAACTGACGACCTGTGAGTGTCTTTAATTAATTAAGTTACAAGCTCATTACTGATGCATGTAGTCTGCGTTCTTTTCACGTATATGGAATTTACTGTGATGTTCTAAAAATAAAAAAAATAAAAAAAAAGGAGAGGAGGAAGTGATGAGATTAGGTGGTGTTTTGGAAACGCACTGAAAGCTAAATGAAGAGTTAAAATGTCGAAGGGTCCCAACGGATCTAGTGCTGTGGTGCTGGTGGTCTATATTCAGATGAGTGATTTAAAATTGAAATTTTGAATATAAAAGTAAATGTAAATAACCACTAGAGCTATAAGTTTGTATAATAAACTTATTTTTTAAGGGGCATAACAGGCTATTTTGGTTTGGCGGTTTTTTCATGATAAACTTCTTATCGAATGTGCACTTTAACAACGTGATATTTCTTTGGCGTTCATTTGTTGTTTATATCATAATTCTGAGCAATCTATTGTTCATCTTTTCTTAAGTTGTCGGATATCTAGCAGCTTTGGAGGTAGTTAGCATGTCGATTTGGTACCTTTTTGTCTTTAGATTCTTTGGTTGCTTTTTGAGATGCCTACGTACATAAGCCCTTTTCTCAACAGTTGCACAATCTTTGGATTTTTGCTGGTCTTTCTACTATTTCGGCTATTTGGAAAGCTTGAAATAAGTTTATTTTTGAGGGTCGCCCAGTATATTTTCGTCGTATTTGCATGTCTATCAATTATGGGATTGTTCAAGGTGACACTAGTATCATTTCTTCTTTGGGGATCCAGCCTATCCCTCGCAAGGCGCCAACTATTCTTCCTGTGCTTTGGTCTTCTCCTTGGTTTTCTTGGATTAAACTTAATACAAATGGTTTGTCCAAAGTAAATCCCGGTCAATTTCTTGGTGGCTTTTGCTAAGGTATTGGTCATTGCAACTCTTTCTTTGCAGAATTATCAGCAATTATTATTGGTGTAAAGTTTGTACCAGCAAGGTTGGCATTGCCCTTGGTTGGAAAGTGACTCTTCTAGTGTTATTTCTGCTCTTCAATCGACTAATTTTGATCCTCATTGGCCTCTTTGTACGCAATAGTCTATTTGTTTGGACTGCATTTAGAAGATGACTTTCTACACTTCTCACATATATCACGAAGGAAATGCTGTTACGGACAATTTTGCTAACATGAGCATATCTTCTCCAACTTTAGTATGGGATGATTCCCTTCCATCGGCGGCTCTTGCTGCTTTATTTTTAGACTATGCTAGCTTTCCTAGCTACCGCTCCTCAAATTAATTTACATATCGGCATACAGGTTTAACTCACTTTCTTGTTTTTTTTCTTAACCTTGTGATGTTGCTTGATCTGTTTTGCAGGTTTAGACTTTTAGGTTTGGTTTTAGAGGGGTTAGGTTTCATGTCCCTCCTCTTTTCCTTGTATCTTTATTGTTTACGTTTCTAGAAGGGTCAGGTTTATGTCCCCCCTTATTTTTCATGTATTTTTTTTTATCCATTTTCTTGTATTATGAGGTTAGGTTTATGTCCCCCTAACTAGGTGTAACTTCTTTTTCATCAGCAATAAAACTCCCCTCGTACTGTCAAGGTTTTATCAAAAAAAAAAAAAAAAACCTGGCGAATCACGATTATTCACTCTTTTCGAGCCTGGAGGAGGCTAGTTAGGAATGACACTCTACTTGTGGCCACAATTAAGCAGATTCATAGTTACAAAGTATCGAACTCAGGACTTCCTATTTTTTTGCTTAAAGAGCTATCGTTCGAACTTTTCCATTAAGCCACTTGCCATGATTATGTATAATAAACTGAAAGACAATCACATGGCGTCTAAAGCATCTCAAACTACATTCAACGTTTTCTATAAAAATCACAAAAAGGTGCAAAAATATTGGATTATTTCTCAATATTTGTGTAATACAATGGTGCTCTTTTATATATTTGCACAAAAGGGATGTAGAATTGGATTAAGCCAGGATCATATCTCAATTTATGCATGTCATCCTTGCACAAAGATCATGCTACTCTTTTATGCAAATCCAAACCCAAGCCTAAAAACAAAATCCGACGCAAAGATTTTCCAGAAGGTTACCCACCCCAGTACTTCAAAGTTCACCGGTGCACTCGAGTTACTATTAATAGTAGCATCACATTTAATTTGTCTTCGGGCCTGGGGTGTCCCTCTTTGTAGGGCACATGCTTTAGTTTGGGGTGTACAAATATGAAGTGATCACAAACACTAGACTATTCACATTCGGGCAAAAGCGCAATCTAAATGAATGTTTAATTAAAATTCATTTGTAATGATCTAAATGAATGTTGAGGATCAGTCTGGAGTTAGTTGATGGTTACAATCAGAGAGAACTGAGACACAGAGTGAGAAGAAGAGAAGGGGAAGTCCTTGAAAGGGTACCGAATGTCAGTACGCTGTAGCGAGGAGCTGGAGATGCTTGGTGGCCAGAAGGATTGATAAAGCTTCTTCATCCTTTCCCCTTACGTCTCCGCCTTCACAGAACATAGGAGAGAGCTGGAACCAATTCCGGTTCACTATAGGCCTATATGTTTACTCTCATTGACCAGAGTCATAATTCGGAGTTTAGTAATATGAGACACTTACAAAAGCAGAAGTGCATGCATAGGCTGTAAATTTACATTCATCATACGCTATGAAGGGTTGCAGTGATTGTCAAGCTATTTATTCGTCATATGGTTGACAAATCGCAGAAGTGCATACATAGGCTGCAAAGTTACATGAGCCAAGACATGTTATAATCGGCCTATTCAACGTTCTGTCAGTTTTTGAAAACTGGTGTGGAATGCAGATAAGAAACGATAAGAGCGACTGCTTTTCAAAAAATGGTGTGGAATGCAGATACGAATGTAAGGTTAGGAGTTGACATTGTCACGCTCTTAATGCTAAAAACTCCCTGGCATTCTGAAAAATGCCTTTGTCATAAGGATTCCTGAACCTAATACTTGTGAAATTTTTCCCCAGATGGGCAAAAGATTAGGCATTACATTCTGCATACAGGTGAAAATTACGAAGATCCAGAATTTCTGCTGCGATGTGCACTTACCTGGATGCGGTTGAACAACACGTTGGAACTCTGGATAATTCTTCCAGTTTATCTGCCAAAGAAGAAACCAAAATGAAAATTGTTCTATTTTGAATTGGGCTAAAAGATTCATGAATAAGAGCGGAATACGGGTAATATTTCCAGTCATTTGAACTGTAAATTGATCAGAAAGGTCAGTTGTTAATAAGCTTAGAGACATATGGTCCCTCCCTCTCAAACACACACACACAATGCATCAACCCATCACTTGTTTCTCTTATTATATGCTCAATGCTCATCGATCATTGAGGAACTTACCCACTCATCAGTTCTGATGTTGAAGCATACACAATATATATGCCAGATCACAAACACCACCTGCTCATACACAATTGGATGTTTGTTAGATTTCATATGAAGCAACCTAATAGGGATAAATCATTCAGAAAGTAGCATAAGTCACAGAAATGCATTAGTACAACCTGGCGCACCAACTGGAGAACGACGAACAGAATTGTGCTAACAACTAAATTTTCAGGAAGAGTAGGCTGCAAAATCGATTAAAAGAAACCAATTTAAGTTGCAGAGGTGTTGGGTTGATTTTATATGCAGGTTTTATACCTCTTACACTTATTATTTAGTCATGATTTTATATTAAATTGGTGAGTTTAATGTCTCTTGTGTGAGTTTTTGTAGAAAAGATGATTTGTGAATAAAGCAGGGAATTGGAAGCTTAAATTAGTGAAACACAAAGAATTACCGAGTGGGATGTGAACTAATGGGCTGGAGCAAAGAATGGAATAGTACATCATATAGAAAATTGGATCATTAAAGGAAGCCCGATATAATTAGGTGGTGCAAAGCATGCGACGATTTTTTTTCCCAAAAGGAATTGGGTTTTTGAGATTTCAAAAGGCACGTGGGTTAGTTAAGAAGACGAGGGGGATTTTAAATAAAAAAAAGAAAGGGCACATAAAAAGGAAAAGAACCCAGCACCGCGAGAGGATCATATCACGCACACTTACAGACTACCAGTTTTACAACTCCATAAAGGCTCCAAGAATTCCCAACGCATACACACACTCAAATACATAGTTGGAGTTCAAGATTTATCCATATCATCGAATTCATCCATGTTTGTCATTAGTTTAATCATGAACTAAGTCTTTTTGCTAGGATGAGGGTGTACTCTTATCATGAACATATAATTCTCATTATTTTATATTAATCTCAGTTATTTTTCGTGTTGAGTAATTGTTATTGTGCTTTGTCGTTATCAAATAACTGGCCATTATTTGTGTGAAGAACTAGATTGTGACTGACAGGTTAAGTTTAGTTGATTGCTTTTCATAACAATTACCACAAATTACATAATTGAGTAGACATACTGGTTATGATTTGTGTAGTGTGGATGCAATTTTTTTCCTCCTTGTTCTTGGATAAAATTGCACCTACAAACAAATAACACATTAGGTCAAGGCCAAGAGCCCCATTCGTCCATGATGAATGTGGGGGCTTTGGCCGAAGAACCTCCGATGCCAAAGTTAGAATTTTGAGGGAAAAATGTTTGGAGAATTTAGCAAGAGAATTGGAATTGGGTTTTGGAGAGAATGAGAGGGCTTTTATAGGGGTGTGGCCGGCCTCCTTGGGTGAGATAGGACCCGTCACTTGGCTCTCTTTGTGGGCTAGGTTCTTGATTTGTGTTTGATTGGGCATAATTGAATAATTAACTAATTAATTAGCCAATTAATAGAATAATTGCCTAATTGATTAGCTAATTAGTATAATAAAAAGGGAAAGATTTGAGAGTTACCTTGTGGAAAGGATTTGATGAGGATGGATGAAATAGGTTTTGAATTGTTACCTATTTTGGGCACTTTTGACTTGGTTGATGGATGATTGCCCGCTGCTTGCGCGTAGGAATTCCGATGTGCCTCAAGGGTATTCTTGTCCTTTTAATCCAAAGATCCACGTGTCACATTGTGACTATTTTTGGCTCCACATGTAGTATCGTGTAATTATCCATTTAGTGTAAAGGGTTTCGATTATCTATATCTATGGCTAGACATAGCATAGGTAGATAGTTAGAAACACGGTTAGTATATTCTGACAGGAAATATTGACGAATCAAGGGATAATTGCTAGCAACATGGGAATAATTTGATGTTATATGAATAACGGGATTAGATGGCATTGAGAATGAGGAACCTGATGTCCTAATGCTTCCATACATTAATCTTTTATAATTCATTCACTTTTACTTCGTTTTCGATTAATTGTTATTTTTACTTTTGTTTCATTTCTTTGCATATTTGAATTTGTCAATGTAATCCTTCTGTTATTTAAGTTTAGTTTGAAGTCAATCTTAATGGTAAATTTAGGTTAATCTAATCTTTGTTTGAACGACACTCTACTTATTACTATATTACTTGGACAATATTGTACACTTGCAATTATCAACAATGAGTTTTTGATAGATAATTTATGCTATAAATAATTTAACTTATGTGTCTCAAAAAACCACACTTGATTTAAATTTTTTTTTTTTTTAAATGTTGCCGGGTGCAAGGACCGACCTCCGATCTAGGTTTACGTAAGATCCCGGACTTGGTAGCAACTCAAAAAGAGTACAGGAACTCAAAAATGTAACCAACAAATTATTTTCTAAAGTCATCGAACAGGAAATAAAAAATAGTCTGTAACTTGGATAAGAATCAATCGCAGTTCACAACAATATTGTTAGCTTACAGGGTGACGCGCATACTAAATAAGAAGCTTCAGTACTGATGAGTCCAAACAGAAGAATTAGGAAAGGGGATGATTCTTTTGGCCTGTACAACAAAGGTATTGATCTCATTAACTACTGACGACTGCAATACAACCAACGGGAATATCGGTTGCAACCATTGCAGGCCAATTTAAAAGGAAATTACATAGCTTGAACTGACTTGTATGGAGACAACTAGTAGACAAAGAATTGTTATTTACCTATACAGTTCCCAAAATCTGGACAATGGTGGTCGAGACCCTTTATGTATACCTTGCAGCTCCTGCAATATCGTACCCTCGTACCCAAACCAGAACCCTGAGAAAGACAAAGCATGATCAGCATTGAGATTACAATTCACGTGATACTGGAGCCAATGTATTCTTTAGCGTATTATTACATCAACTGTGAATCTGTAACGCATATTCAATTAAGAATCAACTTATCCACAGTTCAAGTTAGGCATCTGACAAACATGCTAACTCTTGCTAGTAAAAACCAAAAATCACTTATCGTTCTATTAGTCTACTAGTGAAAAAAATATGGAGAGAACTGAATGCTAGTACCTCAGTTGACTGATGATATAAACATTTGCTAAAGCCTCCAACTCCTGCACAAGTAAAAAGTTCATTAACAAAATGCATTACACTATGAAACAACTTATTAACCAAGGCATTTTTAAGTTTCGACATAAATAGTATTCTAATCCCCTCAAAATTATGTTTTGCATCAAAATAGATGGAACCCAAGTTCAAAATTTCCAACCTCTTCATGATTATCAAATTAAGAAACTGACCCGCCACAACCTGGTACCAAGTTATGGAAGGTTGGAAAAGCTATAACAGAACGCCAAGTTTCTCACCAATGTACATACCCACTTAACGTTGAATTGCTTGTATTTTAATACATTAGAGATTACATTTAGGGTTTGAAAACCCATTTAAAAAGAATATTTGAAATTCAAATATACACAGATAAGAGATTTACGCAGCTACAAAACATATGAGAAAGTCATAAGCTTAACCAACTGTTTGAATATAAGAATTAGAAGACAACTCAAACACTTGAACTGGTGTTGACTTTAACTGAATGAGAACTTCGTCTAACATCCCCGCAAGCTGACAGGACGAGGAACAACTGGAAGCTTGGACACCAAAAGCTTGAACCTCGATGAAGACAAACCTTTTGTAAACAAGTCTACTATTTGATCCTGTGAACATATAAAATTTACCAGAAGTTCACCACAAACAACTTTCTCCGTTACGTAATGGTAATCGACCTCCAAATGCTTAGTTCGCGAATGGAACACAGGATTCGATGCCAAGGCGATGGAGTTCACACCAAATCTGTGGACAAACCAACGTAAGCTGCAAATCACAAAACAAAGATCTCAACCATGATAGCTCGGCTGCAGTATAGCCCAATTGTCTATATTCAGCCTTTGTACTTAATCTAGAAACTGTTTTCTGCTTCTTGGAACTCCATGAAACCAAGTTGGAACCCAAATAAACATAAAATCTTCCTGTTGAATGCCGTGTATCTGGATCTCCCGTGTAATTGGCATCGGGAAATGCACTGAGAAGCATACTACTAGGTTTATAAAGAAGACCATTATCATAAGTGGACATCACATATCGACGGATCCATTTCACTGTCGTCCAATGAGTATTGGTTGGAGCGTGCATGAACTGGAATACCTGGTTCACAGCGTACGAGAGATCAGGACGTGTGATTGTCAAGTTGCAAGGCGCCAACAATGCTTCTGTAAGTCTGTGGATCAGGATGAGGCTCTCTCGCATCCATGCTTAGTTTTTGCCCTGCAGGAACTGGAGTGGAAATGGGCTTCGCATCAACAAACTTGGTGCATTGCAAGAGATCTAAGGCATACTTTGTCTAACTAAGATGCATTTGATGATTGAAATAGGAACTTCAACACTGAGAAAATAGTGAAGAGGTCCTAAATCTTTCATGGAAAAGAGCGTCCCCAACTTCTTTATCAAGTGATGCATTTGAACTGGGTTATTGCCTGTAAGCAAAATATCGTCCATATAAATCAACAAAATCAAATAAACTCCTCTTCGAAAATTTTGCAAGTCAAAGAAAAAAACAAAAAGTTGGGATTTTACACTTACATTTGCTCATGCTTCAAGAAGCTTTTCAATGGTTCCAATGGGTAAATTACGTAAAAAATTATCCTAAATGGGAGGATTTCACAAAAAAATTTTGCCGAGAGTTTGTTCCTTCTGATCTTATGGATTGTACTGAAAACTTAGTGAAGCTATGTTAAACTGGATTGCTCAGGACTATATCATAGAGTTTAGGCATTTGGCAAATCTTACAGTGGAAATGACCCCTGGACTCTTAAAGAGCTGTTTCATTGGAGGATTGAAACCCAAAATTCGTCATGATGTCAAGATCTTGAGACCCTTTAATGTTCATGAAGCTATTGCATATTCTCAGCAAGTGGATACAAAATTAACAGAATTAAAGGTACGATCATTTTCTCGGACTCCCTTTTTTTACTTCACAATTTCGATCTACACCTCTGTCTGATACTACAATTTACCAAAGCCTGATTCTTTTGCAAAAAATGATACTTTTAGACGTCTAACAGCAGCTGAAATTGTGTTTAGACGCAAGAACAAACTATGTTTTAATTGTGATGAGAAGTTTTCTAGGGAGCATATTTGTACGAGGCCAAAGAGATAGGTTTTATTAATTGATGTGTATGATAGTGAGGATAATGTGGTACCTGTTTCTAATGAAAATGATGAACCAAAAGTGATTGCTTGTGTAGTATATAGTGTAACTGCCCCCAAATCCATAAGAACAATGAAGGTAAATGGTTTGGTGATGAATTGCCCTGCCATTTTTCTTGTGGATTCAG